TAGACAACAGGAAAGTATCAATCAATGGAAAGGATGGGATCTCATAGATTGGGTATTCTGGCTTTCTGCTCTGGCGGGGCCCCTCCTCTCCATAATTTTACTTGTATCCATCAGCCCTTGTATACTGAATGCTGTGGTACGTTTTGTTGAAAACCCTGTTGCTCGCCAAACTAGAGCATGTATCTTAGCCTTCCGAAAGCACCAACCTGTAAAACTAAAAGGTGATGCCTACCAAAAGTTTTTTTTAAGAGGCATCAAAGCGGGGTAATGTTGGAGAAATGAATAAAGTACTGTGCCAAAGATGGCCGACGGGACTAAAACAAGCTCTGGTCTCCAGCTTAGAGACCCCTCTTCTGGGTTCTTCTTGCCTTGTTTGCTGCGTGCACGAAAACCCACCACAGATATGGAAGCTGACAAGTATAAATTACCCTTCCCACTTTCATTTGGCGCTCAGATCTTTGGAGAAACAGTCTCCTCTGAGCCCGCCATTGTTAAATAAATCTCTGATCCACCAAGATCTCTGAGTGCCGCTTGCTTTTTCCACCAGCGTTCCAGCCTGGTTCTGTAACACAATAAAAATTAAAACTACCACAACCGTGATTTATTGACAGATTATTAGGTGCCAGGCACCCTAATGCCAAGCCCTTTATATGTACTAGCTCTTTAACCTTACAGTAATCCCATTAGATAGCTATTGCTATTCCATTTCTAATTTGCTATTGACATTAATTCAATTACTATTAATTGCCATCTATTTCAGATGAGGAAAGAGGCTGGAAAATTAGGAAACTACTGAGGGTCATGCAGCTAATTAGTGGTGGAGTCAGAGATGAGATGCCTGGCTGACTGACTCCAAAGTCAGTGCTCCTTACTCCTTAGTTCCCATACACAGCACTCTATGATGTAGGTGCTATGACTATCTGCACATGATGCATGAGAAGACCGAGGTCTACACATATGAAGTGGTTGGCCAAAAGTCATAAGAGCAGTGGTGTGTGTCACACACAAGGATGGAATCTTCTAAGGAACATTTGGAGGCTTTTCTACCTTTCTTTTTCTCTCCCCCTGTATTGCAGCTAGAACTCCAGCTGCCTGGCAACCACCCCCTCCCCTGTCTTCAGTTGCATTATCATACTCCATTCAAGCATGGTGGTGGTATTTCCCTCTAGGCCTTAGGTGAAAACAGTTGTGAATTTAACATATGTAAGAGGAGATAGCAGCAGAAATCAGTGGAGGAGGGATTAATTGTACAATTAATGGTGCTAGGGGAACTTCATTAGTCAATTGGAAAAAAAAGATCAGTTTGCTTTCTCCCATGACACTGAATATGAATCCAGATTAATTTGATAAACAAATGTAGATTTTATGCAAATGTGTACTAATTATGAAATAATATATTTTGTTGTTATGAAAGGAATAAAAAGAATAAAAAGTTCAAAAGCAACCCCTCTTTCGGAGATAGAGAGAGAAAGAGGAGAGAGAGAGAGGGAGGGGCAGAGGGAGAAAGAGACAATCTTCGGCAGGCTTCACCCCTAGTACAGAGCCTGAAGGGGGCTCAATTTCATGACCCTGAGATCATGAGCTGAGCCAAAATCAAGAGTCAGAGGCTTAACCGACTGAGCAACCCAGGTGTCCCAAAAAGCAACTCTTCTTAAAACTGCAAGAAAATACATATTAAATCTCTGGATTGGAGAGAGGTTTTAATCCATGTTTAAGAGTGATGAAAGAAATGATAAAGGAAAGAACAATAACTCAGAAGACAGCATTAACAGAAATAAAAAAGAAATACCAAACTATAAGTACTGACAACAAATAAGAAAAATCATAATAACAGCAATGTTCTATTGTGTTTCGATAGCTAACATTTGTTAAAGTCTTACAAAGTGCCAGGCATATTCTAAGAGCTCCACATGGCTTCATTTCATTCTCACAATAAATCCTAATATTATCCCCAGGTTCAAAAGCATTCTTATATAAAGGGGAAAAAATGAGACTATGCATAAAATGTAAATATGCACCTTAACAAATTATTATAAAGCAAACCACCATAGAGATCAAGAAATAGAATATTGCCAGATTTCCTGAAGTCCCTGAGTCCCTGCCCTTCAAACCACACTCATGACAGTTATATCTAATATTTTCTTTTTTTTCTTTAGAGCTTTACCACTCAAATAGGAATCCCCAAACACCATTGTTTTGTTCTAGAACTTTATATAAATAGAACTATAATGCATGTATCCTATATCTGGCTCATTTCCTTTATGATTAGGTTTTTGAGATTCACCTTCTTTGCATGTAGCATTAGCTCATTTTCAGCCTTGCATTACAGCATTCCATTCTATGAGTTTACAAGACATTATCTATCCATTCCACTGTTGATGGACATTTGGGTTGTTTCTGGTTTGGGCAATTATGAAAAATGTTTCTATGAACATCTTGTTTCTGCCTCCTGGTGCACATGTGCAAACATAGGGCATCTACCTAGTGTAGAGGCTACTTTAGGCAACAGGCTTGAACAATGGAAACTTGAGCAAGGCAAAAGGGCCCACAGCAACCACTAGAGCTGAGTGCAAACAGACTTATTAAGTTACCCACCTTGACATAGCCATAGGCCTCAACTGACCAATTACAATCAGGCACAGTTCTTAAGATTACCAAAAAAGGGAAAATTCCATACATATCCGTACTCTTTCCTATAACGGTGGCCCTTACCACAGTCTCTTTGCAGACAGTCTCTCCTT